ATATTTAATAAATTTAACCAGCTATATTTACATTTAGCTATATTTAGTTTGTTGTCATCAACATTTGAAAAAAGTTAAATTCTTAATCCTAACTCCTCAGCAAATTAATGAGAAACACTTGTTTTTAAGACCACCCTTTTTATTCTTTAGGTTCTGTTGCAGTTGGAGAAATTTTGAAACAAAAGCACAGATTTCCTAGTTGCCATCTTGACTAATGAGTAGAAAAAAACACAAACCCACACAGGGACATCTGAAAGAATCAGCCGAAGCATCTGTCTTTGCTGACTAAAACTCCCTGAAGTCTTTATTCTGGTCTTCAAATCTTGAACGGTCCATTTAAAGAAAAATTTGGATCAATACGTAACGTTGACGCGTTTTGGGGAGTTGTTTGAAAACACAACAGAAACTGAAAACCCTGTGTCATTATTCAGAATGTCAATCAATTGATCTGTTATGACACAAAATCCCAGTGATAGATCATGGTTAGCATTGGGAATGAGACAGAAGTCAATTTTTAAATGACCACGCATTTTCATTATTTCTTAAAAAACAAGTGAGAAAAAAATGATAGACAAATGATCAAACAAGGTAGAAACTGCAAAAAACAGAGTCTTTCTATATTGTAAATTAGGCTGAAAGAATAATGACAGAAAATAAATCAATCTGTTACCTTGGTGACAACTGACTCAAGCACAAATGGATGTGAAATTGTTATCTATTGTTGAGCTTTTTCTGGAGAGAAATGTCAGGCTGCATTTTTGGAACACGTTTTTGTCTAACAGCGAGTGTCTTTACTCGCCAAAATAACTTGAACTGAAACACAAATCAGAATCAAGGGGGGGAGAAAGCTGCTGTCAAAACAAGATAAGAACAGAGTAATCAAGCATGCCAAAAATGTGCACTTTTATTGTATATAAATATATATTTCTAAAGGAGAGTGCACTTGACCCTCGTATATTTGTGTAAGGTCTGCTTCACATTTCGTTGTTAGCAGTTTCTTCTGTACGTTGTTTGAAGTCAAACTATTTCCATATGTTTTGTGCTTTTTTAAGGCTTCACTCACTCTGGAATAATGTGTTTTTTAAGCTGCATTTTTGCAACATGGTTTGGCTAATTACAGTTTGGTTTTAGCTGCTTTGCTACTTCCACATTTATTGAATTTCCCTTTGGGATCAATAACATACTTTTGAATTTTGATTGGATTGAACTAAGGCTAATGTTTTACTATTTTTAACTACAGTATAGCTTTACTCATTTCTATTGTTGGCTATGATTTAGCTATTTTCATTTTAAACTGTATTTTTTTGCTACATTTAGCTTTTAGCTAGATGTTTACTACATTTATCTTTAGGCTACTCTTTCGCTAAGTGCACCAATTAGCTAGAGTTTTGCTACATTTAGCTTTTAGCTAATGTCTTGCTCATTTTATTTTCTAACAGTTCATTTTAGCTCTAGTTTGCTGGAAACTTCTTTGCTCGTTTTAGCTTTTAGCTAGAGTTTTGTTAAAAAAAGCTATATTCTTTAAGCACCACTTTGTTGATTTTAGCGATTAGCTTTTATTTCAACAATTCAGGTGACACTTGATTCTGCAGTAAATTTTAGCAAACATTCAGCACTCGGCATGCATTTTTTAAAGTAAAAGCTGAACTTTTTATTTAAAATTGTAAAAAAAAAAATCTATAAAATGTGTTTTCTTGATGGTAAAACACTGAAATCTTGTTAAGAAGTCCCCATTGTGAAAGTTGGGCAACATTTCTTGGGGGATTAGAGACATTAGGACTAAAGACTACTATTGTGAGCCATAATTACTCAAAAACAAAACACCCTTTTTTAAATCTCYTCTTTTGGTTGTGGAATGAGCTGCAGCGACTCATCCCCAAACTTGACAAACTGAAGACCCTGACAAAGCGACAGAGATGTCTCCTTCAAGGCTGCAGAGAGAGAAACCTGTCGGTGCGCAGGAGGACGGGTGTCACGAGGCCTCATACTTATCTCCTCCCAGATTAGGTCCCAATTGTTCACCAGGAACAAAGGCAGGCAGTGAGAGAACCAGCCCCCTAAGGGCCAGATGGTCAGCGTTCAGAGCCCCCTCTGACCCCTGCAGCCTTTGCTCTCGGTGACAAGGCTACGTGTGCTTTTTAGCGAGCAAGGCCACCCAGCTCATTCACTGTTAACTAAGCTAAGCCAAACACGAAGAGCAATATAGTTTTGTCATAATGCCTGAAACTCTGAAAGGCTGCGGGCGACATGCAATCCTTCAAGGAATGCCAGCGTGAAAGTACATTCAATCTATAACTGACCTATAAGGTCACCACACAAGTATTCATCCGCCAAAAAGAAACAAAAAACAGAAAAGACAATAAGCTGCAGAAGCTGAGAGTTTGCAACACATTAAATTAGCTATTTCAGCTGTGACTGGGATAAAAAACACTAACATTTAGGGAAAAAACATCATAAATACTACTTTTAGGTCACTAAACATGAGGCATAATGACATCAATGACAACCCAAATCCATCTTCTGCTCACTGCCATCTGATATGATTTTATCTGAGCTGCTGAAGCCTGTTTCAGCACCAAAGCCTCAGGCAGCTGTGGTTTTATGCTGACAAGTGCTTAAATTAGTGTCCTGTCCCGGGTCCCGGACCTGACATGACTTTATTGATAATGACTGATGAACGCAAACTGAATTTTAAAGCAAAACGCATCTCTTAAAACTGGCATTAATTTACGCAAACAAAAGGACTTGGTGAAAATCATTTAGGCTGCGGTCACAGTTACAGTTACTGACAAGCAGGGAATGAGGCGAGGCTTTTTTTTTTCTTTTCTTTCTTTTTTTTAGCGTGACCTACCAAATGAGGAAAAACGGGTTTTTAAGGAAACATTCCAGTGTTTGGGAAAAACAAAAAAACAAACAAAAAAAAAAGTTTGTTGACTCTTTAAATGTGACTGTGCCCAAACGATGGTTTTACCCCGCTCCCTTCCACCGTGCCTTCAATTGTTTCCCATTTCCGAGTTAAAATCTGAAGCTAATAAATAAATAAATAAAAACAAACTTTAGGTGTATTAAAGGCGCGCTGACGAACTGACAAGACCACCATCCAGCAACGACACATCCGACATGTCTAACATTTGTCAACCAGATGTTTCGAAAGAAAAAAAAAACAATCACATAAGGAAAACAATCTTTTTATATTTGGGCTTCCTACCGTGTCAGCCGTGAAACGCATTTTCCGTGTCCATGTCCGTGAAGAACCGGGGCTGTGAGTGAAGTTGTGTCCCTGACTCCGGCGCCACCATCGATGCTGGACACAGCTGATCTGCGCACAGTCCGATGACGTCACGACTGTACTGTACAGTACCGCTCCTCTGCGGGAAACTCCTGAGCACTGCGCGAAAACAGTGCGCAGACTGCGAAAATAATAATAATAACAAGAAGAAATTTAAAAAACGTATTTCGGTACTGTACAAGTAGATCCAAATGTTAAACGTGTAGGAACAAACAAGTACAAACCGAACAAACTAGGATTTCCGGGTTTGCTAATATGTTTTTAGCTTTTGTTTTGCACATATCCTGTTATGCTAACAATAACCTGTATTATTTGCATAACACATAATTATGCTACACACACACACACACACACACACACACACACACACACAC